GTGCCCGCCGCGAGCTCCACGCCACCACCCCGCTGAAGAAACCCAACCGCTGCCACCCCACACGCATCTCCCTGGTCTTCTACCAACACAAGAACTTGAACCAGCCCAACCACGGCCTGGCGCTGTGGGAGGCCAAGATGAAGCAGCTGGCAGAGCGGGCTCGAGCCCGGCAGGAGGAGGCGGCACGTTTGGGCCTCCCACCGGACGCCAAAGCCTTCGCCAAGAAGCGCAAGTGGGGCGGCGCGTTGGCCACCGAAGCACCCAGCAAGGAGAAGAGGGACTCGGTCCCCACGCGGCAGGCGGTGGCCATCCCCACCAACTCGGCCATCACTGTGTCCTCCTACGCCTACACCAAGGTGACGGGTCCCTACAGCCGCTGGATCTGAGACGGAGGCGACCACCGTGGCCCCATCTTACCTCAACCCTCGGCGGCGCCGCAGCCCCGGCGTTGCCTCGTGGTGCTTTCTCCTCGGGCGTGGGGGGAGATGAAAAAAAAACAACAAACAAACTACAAATCGAGAAAGAAATCAATAAATAGACAAAAAGAAAAAAAAAAAAAAAGAAGCAAAACACGATGACAAAAATAAATAAATACATAAATAAACCAACAACAAACCCAACCTGCAGAAAGTGAGCCCAACACGTTGGGAAGCAGCGGAGCCGGCGCGGGTGCACACGGTGCTTGGCAAGGAGTTGGCAAATGAAGCAAAACTTGATAAAAACCAACACACACACACACAAAAAAAAGAGGAATGATGCTGTTGGATGCTTTTAGGTAATCTACTATTTATATCTCCAGGTTTTTTTAAATCTAGCCTCGTGCACAGCGCGAATGGACGGAGGAGTTTGTAGCCTCCTTTCGCGAAGGATGAGGTTTTTAATTCCACTTAAAAAGAAAAAAAAAAGCCTATTTATTGGATTTTATGTTATTTTATTTTTTACGACGATGACGATGACGAATCCGATCTTCAGAACGGAAGCCAACGTTGGAATAAAAAACAACGCAAACGACCCTAAACAGGAATAAAAACCAACTCAAAACACCAAACCAGCTTAAAGCAAGAGGTGACTCCCTCCAGCTCTGTGGAGGGAGGTGGGATCGGGTCAAGTCAGCCGGACACGCCGAACATCCAATGATTTTTTTTTGTCCAAGGACCTAAAAATACCTATTTTACAACTCGAGGAGTCCTTTCTTTCAGCGACGGGAGATCCGCGAGCGAGCGGGACGTCCCGGGATGGTGCATCTTTGGCTCTTTGCTGCCGGTGGGATCGGCTCCGCCGGGACGGAGCGAGCCGGCGTCTTTCCCAACGCCGGAGACCTCAGGACACGTCCGGGCTGGGGGTCGTCGCTGCCGGAGGCCTCGCTCAGACTCAGACTTAGGGGCTGCTCTGCTGGTGGCCCCAGGGAGAGCGACGGCGGCAGCGGCGTCTTGAAAGGAGCCGACGGGACAAAACCAGAAAGAAAAATTAAAAAAAAAACCAACAAAAAAAAAAACAACCCACAAAAATACAAAACCAGGAAAAAACCACAAACCAACCCCAAACTGTGAATAGCTGGTGTTGCTCTCTCTACATCACTGTTGCTAACGTCTGGTGCTTTCCGTCTTCGGGGGGACTTTCTCCATGCAGTCGGCTCTGGGAAGAGTGAATCCCAAGACTTGGTTGGCCAAAATTCCCACCGGTCTGGGCTGCCTTCCCTGCCGGTGCTGATGAGCCGGCGAGCGCCGCCGGGGCTCGGTGCTTTTTCTTTCCCCGGGTGCCATCCCCCTTCCCACGGAATCGCCGTTCTTCCCGCAAAAAAACCGCAACCAACAAAACAACAACAAACCAACACAAAAAAAACCCCAACAAACAACCCAACGCCGACAACAACCACGTGGTGCTTTTCCAACCATCTCAGTTGAGACTTTCCGCTCGACGCCACACCGGGATGGATGGATTGGATGAATGGATGGGCTCACTGGGAGGGTGGTGTGGCCAATCTGGGTGCCGGCGTCTCCCATGGTTGTTGCTTTTGCACTTTGAGGTGCCTTTTGGAGAACCGGAGCTGACGCCACCACCGTGCAGACATCACCTTGTGTTTACTGTCCCCTCCACCCGCGCGCACTGGCACAGATCAGCAGGATCTCGGTAAAACAGCCCTTGAACATTTGACGTGGTCTGATTTTAAACTTGTAAATAGGCAAAGAATTTTTTTAAAAGCACTTTAAACTAGATTTGAAAAAACAAAACTTAAAAAAAATCCCCAACCAAGCAACCAACTCCCCTCTTCCCACCCTCCCCAACAACTTGAAAGCCGTATGTTTGAAACAAGATTATTGTGGGAGAACTGTAAATACTGGCAGAATATTTAACATGCTTTGTCCGTCCTTCATAATTAACTTTTTTTGTTCTTTTTTTTGTTTTTGTTTTCTTTTATTTTTTTTGTTGTGGTTTTTTTTTTTGGTGGTTTGTTTTGTTTTGTTTTGTTGTTTTTTTAAAAACCGTAATCTGTAAAGTCGCGTATATTTGACAAGGAAACTCAACGAGCTATTTACTGCTTTTCTTCTGAAATCCCCAATGGCATATCAGGATTGGAAGGGTCTGTGGCAAGGCAGGTGGTAGAGGTGCTGGCAGGTGGGGAACCTCGATGGGGTTCCGAGAAAGAAAATGGGACCCGGAAGATCGGCGGTGTTGAGCAGGGCTGGATTTGGGTGCTGGTGCCAGATTTGGGTGCTTTTGTCAGATTCAGGTGCCAGGGCCTGATTTAGGTGCCAGGGCCAGATTCGGGTCCCAGAGCCAACTTTTGGTCCTGGGGCAGATTCAGGTGCTGGTGCCAGATTTGGGTCCCAGCACCAGATTCAGGTGCTGGTGCCAGATTTGGCCTCAGAGCAAGATTTAGGACCAAGCACCAGATTCAGGTGCTGGATTTGGGTGCTGGTGCCAGATTCAGGTCCCAGCACCAGATTCGGGTCCCAGCACCAGATTTAGGTCCCAGCACCAGATTCAGGTGCTGGTACCAGATGCAGGTGGTGGCACCAGCTTCAGGTGTTGTGGCTGGATTCGGGTGCCAGCCCCCGTCTGTGTCACCCAGGGGCTTGGCGTGACAGTTGTGACGCGGAGTCGGGAGGAGAAGGGAGAAGCTGAAGGTCCATGTACCCTGTCTAAGTCCTGCTTCCTCGGAGGTCCTTTGTTTTTCTTCCGGGTGCAGGGAAAGGGTTGGGACCAGCAGTGGCTCTGGGTTCATCCTGGGGAAGCGGGAACTGCCGGCGCCGCGGGCCGGGGAGCGAGAACTGCTGCAGACTCATGTTTTCACACTACATAACGTCGAACCTACCTCAAATCTCAAGTCATGGAAAACTCGCACGCTTCAGACTTCTATGGAAAACTCGAAATCTATGCACAGCTCCTTCCCCCTTGCTGCTGAGAGGCTGTTTTTTCCAAGCAAAACTTTTTCCTTCTCCCCATCCCGGCGCTCGGCCCGGCCATGCTGAAGCCAAGGGGGGAGGTCACGAAGTGGGGAGGGGAACTTGCTGGGGAAGGGTGTGGGGGGGGATGTTTTTAATGGCTTTGGGGTGGGATGGGGACCTTAATTTTGCAGCAGGTCATGGCCACAATGGTGCTAGAACAACACCCATGGTAGCACCCCAGGGGAGAGCCCCAATGGGCTCCTGCCCACCCCGCTTCAGTTTTTCCAGCAGGGAATGGGGGACATGTCCCCCTCTCGATGCTCTGGGGACGAGGCACGGGAAGGAGAAGGAAACCAGAATCCCTGAGGTGCCTCAATTGCTGATTTTTTTCGTTTCCTTTTAATACTGGATGATGCTTTGTGGGCTCTATAAGGCATATTTTTATTAACTGAAATCTAATCGAAACGGTGCTATGGTGTTTAACGAACTGTATCACACTTCTGCCTGATTCCATCTCGCCGAGGTGCTACTAATGTATATATGAACCTAGGGAACCAAGAAAGAAAACAAACAGACAAAACAAACAAACAAAAAAAAATCCAATGAAAAAGCAATGTCGTTGAGAAGGAAGGTCACTTTTCCGGAGCGACAGTCGGAAGCCAGGAGCCAGTTGGGTTTATGCAAATCTGCTGTGTTGGATGGTGGAGCTGTTCCCCCAGGGCGTGGGGCTGGGTGCTGGCAGGAGAACTTGTGTGAGGTGCTCAGCTGTGGTGCTCAGGCAGGGTGCTCGGTTACACGTCGTGGACGTGGTGCTTGGACGTGGCGTGTGGACACGGTGTTCGGCAACGGCGCTCGACCGCGGAGCTTGGACGTGGTGTGGGAGGGTGGTGCTGGGGCCCAGTGCTCAGCCACACGTCATGAACATGGTGCTTGGACTTAGTGCTCGACCATGGTGCTCAGTCAGGGTTGTGTGGACACGCGGTCTTTGTCAACAGTGCTTGACCAGGGTGCTGAGACATGGTGCTTGGCCACACATCATGGACACGGTGCTTGGACGTGGTGCTCGACTGTGGTTTATGGACATAGGATGTGGGCACGGTGCTAGGCCACACATCATGGACATGGTGCTTGGACATGGTGCTTGGGCATGGTGCTCAGCCATGCACCATGAACATGGTGTTTGGACGTGGTGCTCAGCCATGGTGCTTGGAAATGGTGTGTGACATGGTGCTCGGGTGTGGTGCTTGATCACACGTCGTGGACATGGTGCTTGAACGTGGTGCATGGACATTGTGCTTGTTCAGGATGTGTGAACATGATGCTTGGCCGCGGTACTTGACTGCAATGCTTGGACATGGTGCTTGGCCACACATCACAGACATGGTGCTCAGGCACGGTGCTTGACCACGGTGCTTGGACATGGTGCAAGGACATGGTGCTCGGGCACGGTGCTCAGCCTTGCATCATGGACATAGTGCTCAGGCACAGTGCTTGGACGTGGTGTGTGGACATTGTGCATGGACATGGTGCTTGGGCATGGTGCTCAACTGTGGTGCTTGGACATGGTGCATGGACGTGGTGCTCAGGCACAGTGTTTGGCCACACATCATGGACAGGGTTCTAGGGCATGGTGCTCAACCAGGATGCTCGGTGCATGGACATGGTGCTTGGCCAAACTGAGTGAACATGGTCCTTGGCCATGGTGCTTGACCATGGTGCATGGACGTGGTGCTCGGGCATGGTGCTCAGCCATGCACCATGGACATGGTGCTGGGGACGTGGTGCTTGGATGTGGTGTGTGTTCTTGGTGCTTGGCCACACACCATGGACATGGTGCATGGACGTGGTGCTCGGGCATGGTGCTCAGCCATGCACCATGGACATGGTGCTGGGGACGTGGTGCTTGGATGTGGTGTGTGTTCTTGGTGCTTGGCCACACACCATGGACGTGGTGCTCGGCCACGACGTGTGAACGTGGTGCTTGGGCACGGTGTGTGGACATGGTGCTCAGCCATGCACCATGGGCATGGTGCTGGGGACGTGGTGCTTGGATGTGGGGTGTGTTCTTGGTGCTTGGCCACACACCATGGACGTGGTGCTCGGCCACGACGTGTGAACGTGGTGCTTGGACACGGTGTGTGGACATGGTGCTCAGCCAGGTGCTTGATGGTGGTGCTTGGACATGGTGCTCAGCCAGGTGCTTGGCCACGTGCCATGGATGTGGTGCATGGTCATGATGTGTGGACGTGGTGCTCAGCCAGGGGGTGGGAAGGTGTTGCTTGGCCACAGGGCATGGCCACAGGTCTTGGGACATGGTGCTGGGGTCTGCTCCATGGATATGGTGCTGGGACATGGTGCTCACCCACCATGCAGGAACACGGTGCTGGGCACAGACGTGGCTCTTGAGCACCTCATGGTGCTTGGGTATCACCAGGTGCTTCACCGTGGTGCCAGAGGGTGGGTGCACGGGCTCCCTTCACCCCCCTGGTGCACAGACCCCCACCCTCACCAGCCTGGCTTCCCCCATGGTGCCCAGCACCCTCCCAGCACCCAAACCCACCATGGTGCTGGTTCCCATCACCCAAACCCACCGTGGTGCTGGTTCCCACCACCCAACCCCACCATAATCCTGGTTCCCACCACCCAACCCCACCATGGTGCTGGTCCCCACCACCCTCCCAGCACCCTCCCAGCTCAGCACCCCTCTCAGCACCCCCTGCTCCCACAGCTCCCATCCCGCTTCTCCCCATCTCCATCTTTTCCCCCTTTTCCCTTTGGGTTTTCCACTTTTTGGGGTTTCTTGGTGCTACTCTTCCCCTTCCCCTTCCCACCAGTTCTGGGGGGGCAGCTCCCCCCCCACACACCCCCCTAAACCAAGGCAAAT